TTGACTCCATAAAATCTCATCGCTAATGGAGTATTGTGGTGTACGGAGGAAGTAAACCTTCATACTTCTCCATTCCACATGTTGGTGGCACTAAAATAAGCCAAATGGCATGGAAGAGTCACAAAATAGATCCTTTAAGTGTTACATGAGCCTCCTCTAAAATATCATCATTTATGGAGTACGGTAGTGTACGAAGGAACTAAACCTCCATACTTTTCCATTCCACATGTTGGGGGCACTAAAATAAGCTAAAGGTTATAGAAGCATCAGAAAATATATCATTTAAATATTACATGAGGCTTCATCCCTAAAATCTCATTCTTCATGGAGTACGGTGGTTTACGGAGGAACTAAACCTTCGTACTTCTCCATTCCACATGTTGGGACACTAGAATAAGCCAAAGGGCATGGAAGCTTCACAAAATAGAACCTTTAAGTGTCACATGAGCCTTCTTACCTAAAATTTCATTTTTCATTGAGTACGGTGTTGTACGGAGAATCTAAACCTCCGTACTTCTCCATTCTACATGTTGGGGGCACTAGAATAAGCCAAAGGGCAAGGAAGCATCACAAAAAGAAATTGGACTCTAGTAGATATGGTCCGATCAATGCTCGTCAATTTAGAATTACACATATCCTTTTGTGGGCATGCATTGGAAACTATAATTTATGTGTTGAATCGGATTCCAACCAAATTGGTTCCTATGACTCCTTATGAGCTTTAGACCGACAAGAAACCAAGTGTAAGATATTTGAAAATATGGGGTTGTTCAGCACACGTCAAAAGGACAAGTTCGGACAAATTGGAATCCAAAGCCAGTCGTTGCCTATTTGTAGGCTACCCCAAGGGCTCCGTAGGGTATTTTTTCTATGACCCACGAGAAGTTATTCTCGATGAAGAGAGCTCAGGATTGTGGGAAATGACCCATAGATTCTAGATAATAATATCTTGTTAGAAGATTTACCCTAGTTTCTAGACCTCTAGTTCATTACGAATATGATCAAGAAAGTTACTTGATGGAAGCCACGAGTGGTGAGGAGGATCCCGTGACTTATACGGAAGCTATATTGCACATATACTCCTAGAAGTTGGTAGATGCCATTAAAGTCGAGATGGGCTCCACAAAAAGCAATGGAGTCTAATTTCTCGTTGACCCACCCACTAGAATGAAAGCAATCAGTTGCAAATGGATCTACAAGAGGAAGAAGGGCCCTAATGAAAAAGTTGAGACCTTCTCGGCAAAGGATATGCTTCTAGAAGATGGAACATCCGATTTGACTCAACAGTCAAACAATTTGATTTTGAGCAAAATCCGGATGAACCATGTGTTTATGGAAAGATAGAGGGAGATAAGGTTACATTTTTTATTCTGTATGTAGACAACATTTTACACATTATGAATGATGTAGGAATGTTGACTACGGTGAAAGTATGGCTTTCATAGCAATTCTCTATGAATGATCTTGGAGAAGCCTCTTACATCTTGGGACTTCGACTTTATAGAGATAGATCAAGAAGGATAATTGGATTATCCCAATCTACTTATGTTAACAAGATCGTCAATAGATACAACATGCAAAACTCCAAGAAGGAATTTGTTCCTTTCAGGCATGGAGTTACTCTCTCTAAAGGAATGTCACCTAAGACCCTTGAGGATATTGAGGTCACGAGAAAGATTCCCTATGCCTCAGCTGTAGGGAGCATCATGTATGCTATGTTGTATACTCAGCTAGACATTACTTAGGCTGTTAGTGTGGTAAGTAGATACCAATCTTACCCGGGACAAGATTATTGGATTGCTGTGAAAAACATACTAAAGTACCTATGGAGGATTAAAGACTATTGTCTTATCTTCGGTGGTAGTTCACTACAGATGGTCGGGTATACTGATTTCGACTTCCAACCTGACCCAGATGTTAGAAAGCCTATATCTGGATACTTTGGAACCTTGTCTAAACCAACACCTTTCTTTGTTCCATGACTCTTCATAAGTTATTTAAGGATTATGAATCAAGCAAATGAACATAAGTGTTTGAAAATCGCTATTGTCTCTCACAGTTTGGTCTACTACTATCTCATAGAAGGTTTTTTTTTAGACTCTTCAACTTTGTTGGTTGTTAATTCTTGCCCAAGTTTTTGTTGTATACTGGGAACGAATTTGCCTATAACCCAATAAAAAACTCAGTAAAACAAGTAGGGGCAAATAACGTTATAAAGAAAGTATCTTTAAACACGCCTCAAAGCTTCTCTCCAAGTTTCTGTGACCCCAATTCCTAGCAATGTCTATATTATTGTGACACATCAGTTATAAGACTACCGGTTTAAACTGTTCATTACTTGTACTATATATATATTGATTTTAATATATAGAACCTTATGAACTTATGCGACTTGTAGGAAGCCAGCCTGTAAGGCTGTCCAACTTAAACAACTATAAATTTTTTGAAAAGGTACGGATAGGCCCAATGCAGATTTCTGAATTCCACGACAATTCTATAAACATTCAAAATGTCAAAACCCCCCACTCTATACACGAATGACCGCCCGTGAATTGGCATCAATTCCAAGCTAGCACCTATCCCAACTATACTTTGGGCCTAAAAATTCTAACCCTGGGCTGAATCGTCATTCTCCCTAAATTTTTTCTTTGACATCTAACTTATTATGCATTTTTTTGGGAGAATGACGGTTTAGCCCAAGGTACACGAGTTTATAACATCTTTCCTCATGCCTTCCTACCACTGTACAATTAGATTCATTGAAGATGGGGTACACAAGTTACAGATTCTAGAAAATAAGAAAGAACACACACACACACACACGCATAGAAAGAGTCCCAAAGTAAAGCTTCAAAGCTACTTGGGATCAAGCTCTCTATTGCTGATATCTGATTAGGAAAATGATGGATTTTAATCTCATTAGAGATTAAATCCAATGGGTTTGATTGGTCAATTACATGGGAATTTTCACCTGCACACATGTTTTGAAAAATAGCCTCTCTTACTAAAATCAGTTTTTAACTTATCCCACATTGGAAAATAGAAGAGGAGAGTATGGAGGCTTACTACCATGCAATGTGTGTGCATGCGTGTGCACGCATGTGTGCAATGCAATGAGGCGCTTTAGAGCCACACTTTGCTCGCACTTGCGTGGCTTGCGAATGATGGCTTTGGCTTTTTGGTGCGATTTTGACCGTTGATGTGATCAATGGCCACGATTCAATCGGGTGTGATCAAGAGGAACAATTCAAAGTTAACAATCATTAACTATTAATTACCTTTTAAACAGTCACAATGTTTAAAATTGTGACTATTCAATGTGCCTTTCTCTGAACCAGCACCTTCCTTTTCTTGACAATTCTTCAGAAACTATATAAAGAACGTGAATTAAGCATTTCACACAATTTTCGAAAATCACTTTGTCTCTCTCTCTCTTTCTCTTAGTCCGATTTGCTAGGTCTCACAAAAGATTTTTTTGGAGACTCTTCAACTTTGCTAGTTGCATATTCTCGCTCAAGGTTGTTGTTTTCTGGGAACGGATTTGTCTATAATCCAACATCAAACTCAATGAAACTAAGTGGGGGCAAATAACATTGTAAAAACAATGTCTTCAGACGCACCTCAAAGCTTCCCTCCAAGTTTCAGTGGCCCCATTTCCCAACAAATAATACCAACAATCTTCTACACTCGCAACCATGTACCCAACCATCAATAGAGTCAACAAAGATAAAATCATTCTACGACTCGAGACTCGGGAGAATCAAAACTCTCCCCTAGCCTCGGTAATTCCACTATCTCTCTCATACATTAGGCGTCGTCTCTAACAATGACGAAGACCTTAAATTGAATTCCTCCATGACCGTCGCTTTTGCTGCAGTGACGGCGAGAGTTGCAACAAAGAGGGTTGCAGAGGCACCTCTGACAGTGGTGGAGGAGAAGAGAAGAGAGGAGGGAATGAGAAAAGAAGCGGGTTAATTGTATTTGATAATTCAGTCTGGTTAATACATGAAATGGAACTCATCCATGGCATGTTTAATCATCCAAAAGTCAAAATATGCAAAATCGCAGTTATATTTCAAACAAAACCCTGTGTTGCAGTCCAGTTTATTGGCCCATATTTATAGTGGAAGATCCCTAAAAGATAATATGTTTGGAGAAAGTTCTTAGAAATAGTGGAGGAACTCAGACCGGATTTCAGCTTTAATATTGAGAAACGGAGGAACCTGGATCAAATTTCAGCTTTAATATCTTAGAAATAATGGAGGAACCCAGACGTGGTTTTAGATTTGTTGCCCATAGGTTTAGTGTCGTCTTTCACTGTGGAAAGCGGCTCGGTTGTAGAATGGGTTTCACACTTATGAAGTTGTGAGGGTGAAGGGGCGATGGGGAGGGAAGGGAAGAGAGCAGCTGAAATGATAGATAAGTGTAGGTTGTTTTCGACAAAATTTTGGCGTCCATCTCCAATTAGAACCAAAAGCCTGTCAGTTTCAAATTAATTTGAAGAAGTTAGCGTGTTCGAATAGGGTTGGACGAGACAGAAAATTTTCGGGATGTGAGCTCAGTGGTAAAATCAGGAGTTTAGCACAAAGCCACAAACAACAATGGAAAAAGGGATTAAGACAAGAAAAAGAAAATACATTAATAAACAAAAATAGACATAAAATTAATGACCAATATGCCGTGAGACCATACCATCGGAGTAAGATACACTTGTCCAATACGCGGTGGTAACGAGGTGAAACAGTTGAAGGAAAGGGCCGCAACGCAAGGGCAACAAGTGAAAGGCATTGACGGCCGGAGAGGTTTCCGGATTTGAATGGGTGTCCTTTGTCCTTCCCATGACCTTTCTTTTATAAAGGGGGATGATGAAATGGAGCAAATAAAAAGAGAGCAGACAAACCTCCTCCATCCTCAAGAGATGCATCAATAATATCAAACTGATGGCCTCTGGCTAAATTCTTTGTAAGAAAACTTGCTCGTTGAAGGCTTTTATTTTGATAAGCCTTAACTGAAGGTTGATTAGAAGTCCCTTGTCCTCACCTTTAGCAATGACCTCAATTAATGTGCTATGAGATATCATTCGCGCTGAACAGAGTTTTCTATGTGTTTTTATTTTTTCTTTTTTTATATTTGTTTTGCAGCTAGTTTCTGTTGTCTCGAATCCAAGAGAGAGAGCGTTGAGTTACAAGATTCTCAGTAAGGGAGGGTGCAAAGAGAAAGAGAGAGAGAAGATGGCCTTGATGAAGTTGCTAGTTCTTCTATGTTGCATCTCGGCAATGGTGGTGGTTCGAGCTGAAGATCCTTATATTTTTTTCACTTGGAACGTGACCTATGGCACCATCTCTCCTTTGGGCGTCTCGCAACAAGGCATTCTCATCAACGGACAGTTCCCCGGTCCCAATATTAACTCTACCACCAACAACAATGTAGTCGTCAATGTCTTCAATAATCTCGATGAGCCATTCCTCTTAACATGGTATGTCCCGTATGTCTGTAACTCTGTATAACAAAATAGATGCTTCGTTAATTGAAAATGGAAGAGGAAAAAAAAAAGATGAAGAAGAAAGAAAAGGAGAAGACATGTGACGATGATTTCACTGTTAAAGACGAGACTTTTGATTGATGATGATGTAACAGGAGCGGCATTCAACATAGGAAAAACTCGTGGCAAGATGGAATGCCTGGGACCAATTGCCCCATCGAACCAGGAACAAACTTCACGTACCATTTCCAGGTGAAGGATCAGATCGGGAGCTTCTTCTACTTCCCGACCATAGGCATGCACAGAGCAGCTGGTGGCTTCGGCGGCCTCCGTGTGAATAGTCGTCYGCTTATCCCGGTCCCTTTTGCCGACCCAGAAGATGACTACACCGTCCTYATCGGCGACTGGTACTCCAAGGGCCACAGTAGCCTCAAGAAATTGTTAGACACCGGCCGATCTCTCGGCAAGCCTGACGGAGTCCTCATTAATGGCAAGTCAGGCAAGGTCGAAGGGGACAAGGATGAACCCCTCTTCACCATGAAGCCCCACAAGASCTACAGGTACAGRGTCTGCAATGTTGGGTTRAAGRCTTCTCTCAACTTTAGGATCCAAGGCCACTCCCTGAAGCTGGTGGAGATGGAGGGATCCCACACGGTTCAGAACGTATACGATTCCCTCGACGTGCACGTAGGGCAGTGCTACTCCGTTCTGGTAACAGCCAACCAGACGCCCAAAGATTACTACATGGTGGCATCYACCCGGTTTACCAAGTACATGATTAGTGCCACGCGCATCATCCGTTACACCAACGGCAAAGGCCCCGCTTCTCCTGTCCTCCCTGAGGCACCTGTTGGCTGGGCCTGGTCCCTCAACCAATTCCGCTCCTTCCGCTGGAACTTAACGGCTAGCGCCGCCCGCCCCAATCCTCAAGGCTCTTACCACTATGGCGCCATCAACATCACCCGCACCATCAAGCTTGTCAACACTGCTGGCACCGTAGATGGGAAGCTCCGCTACGCCATTAATGGCATGTCCCACGTCGACAAGGATACTCCACTAAAGCTCGCCGAATACTTCGGAGTTGCAGACAAGGTTTTCAAGTACGACAGCATCCCAGATGAACCTAAAGGCAAAGGAAGTGAAAAGATTGTCATGGGACCTAACGTCCTCAATGCTACATTCCGTAATTTTGTGGAAATCATATTGGAGAACCACGAGAAGAGTATTCAGTCATGGCACTTGGATGGATACTCTTTCTTTGCTGTCGGGTGAGTAAAAGAGACTTTTCCATATGCGTATTTATATTCTGACGTTTTAGTTTTACAAATTAATCTATTCCCTTGGCAGAATTGAACCAGGGAAGTGGACACCAGAACGCAGAAAGAACTACAACCTTCTTGACGCTGTGAGCCGGCACACAGTCCAAGTTTTCCCAAAGTCGTGGGCGGCCATCTTGCTCACCTTTGACAATGCCGGAATGTGGAACCTGAGGTCAGAGATTTGGGATAGATTCTACCTAGGACAGCAGCTTTATGTCAGCGTCCTTTCTCCAGCACGCTCTCTCAGGGACGAATACAACATCCCCGATGGCACAAAGCTGTGCGGCATAGTGAAGGGCCTTCCCAAGCCCCCACCATATACCATCTAGATATACCTCCGACAATTGTCTTCACACGGGGTCAAAGAACGAGGAAACACTAAGCAGAAAAAACTAACAATGAAGTGAAGACAAAAGAAGAATACTTAATAAGAAGGGAATAAATTACCTCTATGGGAAAAAGGAAATAATCATCTCCCTTATTAATTTAAAATAAAGGGAGGTGATTAATTAATGTGTTTATGAGTAATTTCATGTTTCACAAAAAAGGGAGGTGATTTATAAAGTGACCTAAGGAATCAAAATATTGGCCTGATCTATCATTATTGTTTCACCTCTATCCATACCAGTTTTATCTTTTCCTACCTATTTATTTCACTTGATTTCTTATTCTATACTTGATGTACAGCAAATTTTTATATACTGATATTTGATTATTGGGTTTACTTCTTTAAAACCCAATTACATATTATCCATAATAATAATCGAACATCTCTCTTGTTTTCTGACAATGGAATGGAAATATATTCTTAAATCATCCAAAATTTCACCAGACAGAATGTTGTAACCTACCACAACTGAAAATTTACCTTTCACTCTTCTTTAAATTTTCAAAATGGTGCTTGTAACCTACCACAATTATAAAACGGAGACTAATAAAAGTCTTTTGCACAAATTAAAAGGAGTTGTTCTTGAACTTCGTCATAGTCTCATTGATGGTGTCCTTGTCGTAAAGAGCTGCTCCTAAGTATGAATGATAATGTGGAACTTTTGCTTGACTAAAATACCCCAAATTTTGAAGTTGGACCCTCTCTAATTATACGTACAAAAATGTAATTTTGTTCAAATCCCTCTCATTGAGTCCTATATTTAAGGTATTAATTCCTATTAACAATTACTCAAACATGCTATTAACTAGAGTACCCATATTTTTTTTTAATTTGGTCCCTTTGTAATTGTGAGAACACAAAATATAATTTGAACTAGTAGATTTTCCTCCTTTCATTTCCATCTCATTAAGTTTTAAATTTAGGGAATTAACTCACATTCTTTCGTTGAATCCTATATTAATTAACCATATTAAAGAAAATGGTAAATTGCTGAAACCTTTCTTGAAGTTGTTGACTATTGCTTAAACTTCCTCTAAAGTTTGGTAATGGAAATCACCTCCCATGTACATTATAACACAATTGCAAGTAGACCCTCCCCTATTAGAATCATCTAATAAGAGGCACAAAAATGTCAAAAATACCCATCTAGTTACTTTTGAACAAAATATTTATTTTCCTAATTTCCTCTTCATATCAATCTACCCAAGCCCTCCCAATCTTTTTTCTGAAAATGATTTATTTTTCAAATTTACTCATCATATCAATTGCTCAAGTTTAAAACTACAACTTTAAACTTTCTTTTTTTGTTGTTCATAAAGTTTGTGTTGTTGTTTTTTCTATAGAAATCAGCCTCAATAGTAATTGTATGGGCATTTTGGACATTTTCATGTCTTTTGTTAGAGGATTTTAACAGATGGGTCTACTTAACTTTGTTAGAAAGTTCAGAGGAGGTGATTGCAATTACCAAACTTTATTGGAGGTTTCAACAATGATCAAAAACTTTAGGGGAGGTTTCAACAATTTACCCTAAAGAAAAATATATAGGGCCTTGGTCGATTCTCAAAAATAAGAGTATGGAATAAGAATCAAATGGGCCATTCCAATTTCAACTATTTGGTTGAGTGGAATTGAAAACCCATTCCCATTCATGGTGGAATGACCATTCTCTCCCCCTCCCTTAGGAATGAAATCCCATTCCATATGATTCCAGTTCCCATTTTGATTCTTGTATGAATCAAATAGACTATGGGAATAGTGTTGGAAAGGTTAGAAGCCATCACATGGACGGCCGAACCATGCTGGATGGCTGGGCGAATTTCAAAAATTTTCTAACCCCACCTGAGAACTGGTTTCCTAGAGATTTTGAAATCTGAATTTGTGGATCAACCTTGCACTGAACCAGACCGGATTTAAACCAAAAATAAATCAGTTCTTGCAATGTGTGAGCCTAAAATAAGTGCTTATTTTAAAAATAAGGGCTTATTTTTTTAAGACCAAATTTCCAACTTTTTTAAGTGCTTATACAATAAGCAGTTATTCAATTTGTTCTTCTAAAATTATCCCTAGTTGAATTTTAAAATACCACTTATAAAACTATCCCTAGTTGAATTTTATAAAAGTATTTTCATAAAAGTGCTTTCAAAAAAGTACATTTATAAAAGTACTTCATAAAAGTGCTTTAATAAAAGTACTTTCATAAAAATGCTTTTATTAAAGTTCTTTCGTAAAGTACTTTTGTAAAAGTGCTTTTAAAAAGTGTTTTCATAAAAAAAGTACTTTCACGAAAGTACTTTTATAAAAGTGCTTTCATAAAATTTGAAAGAAAACAAAGGACAAATTAGTCACAAATGCTTATTTAAGTGCTTATTGGAGAAAAAGACTACCAAACACCCAATATGAAATAAGGTGCTTGTTTTTTTAAAATAAGCACTTAAAAAAGTTGGGTGCCAGATGCAAATAAGTGCTTATTCAAATAAGCACTTGTTTTTAAGCACTTATTTAATAAGTACTTTTTTTACATAAGAACTCCTAAACATGGCCTAAGCTCCAATCTCAAAACTGTTTTAACTTTTAAACAAGACAACCAGGACAATGGATAACAAAGCAAAGAATTGGACACAAAGCAAGTTTAACATGGTTTAGGAGTATCCTTACATCCACACTTGAACCTCTATGAAATTTCACCATATTCTCAACCGGCAATGTTGTTATCTCACTTCTCATATAAAAGTAAATCTTAGCATTCACACCAGAGATGCTGCATTTTCTAGCAACCCCTTTCCATTTCATTAAAAAACCTAATGCTTAACTTTGATTTATAAAGTATAATTCTTAAGTTTTAAGGGATGGGAAAAGCCAACTATCCTATCCAACCATAAAAGGGTAAATCTCCTAAACTACCCCTACTATTTGTAAAATTGACTAACTGTACCCTTACTATTTACATATCGTCTTACCCTTATTGTTTCTAAAAATTGACATCGTTGTTAAGTGATAATGGAAAAAAACAAAATGTCAAATTTTCTCTCCACTATTCCTCAAATTTCAAAATAAAACTCAATCAATGAACAGTCGGCCATGAAAAGAGCTTGATGCCCGGAGACTCAACTTCGTTCACTCTGCCTTACCAATCAGTTCGTTGCAGAATCTCTCTTCTCTCATTCTTCCTCTCCTCATCTCCATTGTTGTTGCAAGTATGTTCAATATCCGAGGAACCTCCACCCTACAATAAATGTTTCACATCAGAAAGCTGTTGCCGTCACAGCAGGAGATATTTCTCATAATGTATTCTGTCTCATATTTTTTTCTTCTCAGTAGTCTCAAGTGAACACTTCTAGAGAGCATATTTGGTTTTACCAAGACAATTTCTATTGGTGGGTTTTGCTTGGAAGGTACAAGCATGTAGATACATTGGTTTCTGGTGGGGGAACAAAACAGGGATCGAGAGATGGGGGAACAAAACAGGTTCGACTCTAGTCTGATGACCTCCACTTAGCAATGAAGAGAACTCTCTAGTGGCTCCATTAAGGGCCATTTGATGGGGACGGTCAAATAAGTTTCCACTATGGTGGTAGGGACGATGAAATAAGGGTCCTTCACTACCGAGTAATACAATCTTTCAGCTTCTTCAACATGCATGAATACTGCAACTTCAACCACCGCAATCGATCTTCCGGAAAACCTTTACGGGGAACAACCCTCCACAGTGTTTCTTCCGTCCCAGACGGATCGTTTGCACTTTCTGTTGCTGTGTCATCAAGATCTTTCGGCGAATCGGCAACCTGGAAAATTGTATTCCTCCTTTATTGTTTTTTTTTTTTTTTTTTTGTGAATGACGACCAGAACAAATTTAGCCATAAGAATAAAACATGGCACTAATAGACGGAAGAAAGAGAGAGAGGTAACGGTGCAAATTGGGTAAATGAGGTGTAAGAAGCATCTCTTCAACCTCAACAACAGCGTCGGCATCTGCGCTTCTTGTCTCCATGAGCGCCTCTTTGCTCTCATTGCCGCTCAAGTCCAAGCCCAAGCCAGAAACATAATTCACATCCACCGCCGCTGGTCTTTCCCCGCTCCGTCTCTCCTTACATTTGCCGCCGCTCGGATGATTCCTCTTGGCACCACAATCACTTTGATCAACGATTTTATAGTACTCCTCAAGTGAGTCCCACCTCAAACACCACCACGCATGGCCGTAAGAAGAAACACAAGTTCTCTCTGCTCACCTCCTTTTTCACCTCTAGATCGAAAGGCCATCGCCACGAAGCTGACGATGAACATCAATCTAGAGTTTCAATTTCCTCTTCGTCGTCCTCTCTGATCTCATCCTCCTGGTTCTCCTCTATTCTCCCAAGTCTTAGGAAAAAACAATCCCGGCTATTCTCCCTCGATGAGACTGCTAGTGCTGAGGGGGAGGTTTGAGAATTTCAACGACCAAAGAAGGTTTTCTGAACGATGCCGGTGTTGAGATGAATGGGATGAGTGTAATATTGGGTTTTAAAAAAAAAATTATTAGTTACGTAGAGTCACATGTGCACAGATCGTGACGGAGGGGTAGATGGGGGTAGTGTTAGACAATAGTCTAACAGTAAAGGTATACTTAGTTAATTTCGCAAATAATAGGGGTAGTTTAAGATACTTACCCTAAAAAATGCATTCACACAATTTATAACTGAAAATATAATTAATAATTATTTATTTATTTAAATAATTACTATCAAAATAAAAAAACAAAATAAATAAACATTGTATAATGTATTCAAAAAATTATATAATTATTGAATAAAAAATTTTAATTGTTATGTGGATATAATAAATCATCCATAGATTTGCAATATATTAAAACCTTGTGATTAGATCATAAAAATATAACAATTATTATTTATTTTTAAATTCTAAAAATACAAAAATTATTAAAGAAGAATTTTCAATTACTCTATG